CACGCACACACACACATACGCACACAAGCACACACACACATACGCACACACACACACACACACACATACGCACACACACACACACACACACACACAACCCCTCGTCAATTTGCGCTTTCTGCATTGCGTAGCTGCAAAAAACGCATAAAACCGAGGAATTAACATTCGATATGCTCACATTTACAGACTGTTCATGTGGCTTGTTATTAATCCATTAGCACAATTCCTCAGTGAGCTGCAGCCAAGAGAGTATGCTGAACTTCAAAGGAATTGCAGCATAGCGGATTATGTTTTTCCCCTAAATTAGCAGAGGATATCATTTCCTTTTTTATTTCGTATTGTCGATTATAAAAATGCATTCGATAATTTCATGCTGATTGTTATGTTACGAGTCCTTGTAGGTGGTGATTTTTAGGGGAACTGAATGGGAATTCTTGAAGAAGCGAAAAAAGCTGTGCGACGGGGATATTAAATTTTACCATTCCAGTCTGTTTGTCGATCAAGAGGAGTTAAAAATGAGGGAATCACACGTTCCTCAAGCTTGTTTTTTGCTTGCCTTGCGATCATGTTTTGAGAAATGGGGTAGAAAGTTGATATGAGCATCAATGAAGAACAGTCAAACCATCTGCGTTCGGTGGATGATACAGTCATATTGCGAGCAAAGGTGGGTATGCGCAAAAAGGAAGGATGAGTATTCGAAAAAAAGCAAGTGGCCACTTGAGGTCCCCGAAGAGGTACGCATTCGTCGAACAGGCAGTGGCTGCTAATTGGAGTATGCAGCTGAGAGCAGCAACACCTGGCACAACTGCACCAACTTATGGGAACAGTTCATTTACGCCATTGGCATGAGACTGTCGCATCTGTTGTTCGGGCAGTATTGGTAATTTTTGCATGTAAAGTCGGACGTTTCATGCTTAGTGAAACCGGGATTGCTTCATCTTTTTGGTGGGTATTAACTACAGTCTGTAGCTGCAGGAAGTATATAGGAAATGGTGGTGCGCATGTGCCACGCATTTAAAGGATAAGCTTTGTCCATGTACGAAATTTTTACAATTCACATTTGTCCAGCAAATATCATTTTGATTTTTGTTCGGCGGCGTTGCGGCAGCGGAGTAGTTTTGTCATTTTTCAGAGGAAGGCAATTATTACTGGTGAATACGAGCCCAAGGGCGAAGAAGTAAACTACCCACTGCTTCAAGGCTGTACTCCGGAGGAAATAAAAGTAAGCAGTTCTTTTGCCGTAACGTGTTCGTGATTACAATATCCTACCACTACATGCTGCCGCATGACTCGGAATTAGACGTTTGGTGCCGAATGTTGGACAGAACTATTACATGAATTTAAAATAAATTAAAACATTCTGATTCCAGCAGATAGACGAAGTCTCAGCTCCAGAACCTGAGGAACCAACTCGAGGCATACCAGGTTTCTGGTTGCACTTGCTGAAAAATGTGGACCATCTGTGTGACATGATCCAGGACCACGACGAACCAATTCTTATGCATCTCAAGGATATAACGTGCGATGTTGACGTCAATCCGAACGTTAGTTTATTCTTTTTTTTTTTTTTTTATTTCCGCCATTTTCAGAATAATGAGTGTGCGAGAAACAGACGCATTTTCAATGCATTGTTTGGATAGCTGTGCTGCACGCAGGGTTTGGCCATGTGGCCGGATTTTTTTGATAACAAAGTATGTCAAAAACGCATTAAAATCAGCTGGGGAACGATAGGCTCCGTAAAAAAATGAATTGGCTAGCATTATTCTTCAAGATACGGGAACATGGCAAAATTGCATGTGATGCTGATTTCATCAAAGTAACTGTGAGAACTGCAGTGCGACAGCCTGAGCAATTTCGTTGGCATTACTGGTACAACATTTTTAACACACTTGAGGAGTTTGGAAAACGAAAAAGAATTTTTAATTTATAGTTATATCTACTGAATATTTGGGGAAGAAAAGACGCAAAGAAGTATTTAATTTGGCTTAAGATGCGTTCCTTTTTTTTTCTCTCTCCCTTCTGACCTTTTCATCCCTTATGTAGAGACTTTTTGGGAGGAATTGTACGTCAGATCTAACACCTGCTTGCTTTTAAACATTTTTTAAAAGGCGAAGCC